GCGTGTAATCGAAACGAACGTGTACTATCGATAACCTTAAAATATGTAGATTTCTCAATTTCATGCCATTTCCGTTATATTCCCCAAATCTGTTATATATGTTTGATGAAACTGCAAAGTTTGGCAGAAATATTTATCGATGCAATCGCACGCAGCACACGTCAAACGTGTTCGGTAACAAAGTGAAAAGAAGAAGGAGGGAGAAAGAGAGAGAGAGACAAATAAATTATTGAAAAGATGATGAATAAAATTTAATTACGATTTGTTCGATGACATGTTTCGAATTATTCATAATTCCATAAAAGAGAAAGAAAGGAAAAATTCGAAATATTTGTTTCATTGTATTGATTGTGAAATTTATTTAAAAAGAACTCAATGGACAAATGTTACAAAAGAGAGTAAGAGGAAGAGTTGGAAAAAAAAAAACAAAAAAAAGAAATATAGAAAGAAGAATAAACATTGATAAGACGAAATAAAAAAAGAAGGGCGAAGAAGAAAAGAGATGCGATCGAAAGAATATCATTCGCAGGCTCTGTTCGAGCGCAGCGGAGTCGAAGAATCGTGCGAAGGTTGTCTGCTGGCGAGGCTCGCGACCTCGCGAGTGCGACTAAAAAAGCCAAGGAAAGGAGACAGAGAAAAAGAAGGAACAACAACGAGAAAAGAATTGCGCGCCGCGAGAACGGCCTTGGCTCTTTATCGGCGCGTCCAATGAAAAGAGAATCGCCGCGAATTGCTTTCCTTTGATTTTTGATTTATCTTCTTTACATTACTTTTTTTCAATTATTTATATTATAATATCCATTTATGTTAAATTTAATCAAGAGGTTTGATTATTTTATCCGATTTATATTAAAATAAAGGCTTACCCAGGAAAAATTAATCTCTGCTCTTAATGGTTTAACCCTTCGTCTATCAGAAGTCTTTAAACAAATCTTTTCGAAAAGAAGCACCATTTTTTCTTGTAATTGATTCGTCTAGAAAGATACAATAAACCCAAATGCATCAATTGCACAACATAACTTAATGTTCTGATTTTTTCCTATATGAAATGTGAACAACGCAACTACGCTGTAAAAATACTCAAACAATTTCATTTACATAATTTAAACATTTATTCATGCATTTTTCGATACTTATTATTTATGGATTAAAATAAGTAACCAAAGTTACGGAAGTAACACTTGTTAAAACAAATATATGATTGATCAATTGAGGAAGAAAAAAGAATAACAGAAAAAAAGAATCTAGTGAAACTCGAATAACCAAACAGATGCCTTGTTCTTGTCAGCGATAAGAAGAAATAGAGGTTTTATCTTTTTTCGGTAATCCGAAGGTGTCACAGCGATTAAATAAAAAAATCTAACCGGTTGATCAAAGACGGTCCCTTCTCTGCGAACACAAAATGGCTACATAGAACTCGGCGTCACGCACCGCTACGCGTGTGCTCACACCCACTTCCTTTTTATGCCACTCCCTGGCCCAGACCCCTAGGCATTGGGCCTCAAAGAATTCGAAACGATAATTTTTTAGCGAAATCTTTCTCGTCAAAATTCTCCAACGGAAATTCGATAATTCGAAAAGAATAATTGAAAGAAAAAGAGAGAGAGAGAGAGAGAGAGAAAGGAAAAAGAGATAAAGAGAGAGAGAAAAAACCAAGGATAAATTATTACCGAGCAAAATTGTCGAGTTGGAAGCTGAAAACTTTCGTCGAGTTTTATGACACGGTCGCTGTGAAATTTATATTAAAGGTTAGGAGGAAATGGTGGAAGACGAGAAGAGAGAAAAAAATTTAATTTCATCGATTCCAAAACGGGAGAAAACGTGTGCGCGCGTTAACTATTGAATTAGAGATAGTAGTTTCGGTGTAACAGACTCGGCCACAGCCAAGAAACTGCCCGAAGAGAAAAATGGAGAAAGAGAAAGATGAATCTGGTCACGGCGAATCATAAACTTCTTCGGAGTATTCGCCCACGCTACGCTTAGCTCAGTCTGATGCTGGAAAAGAACGATGAAGCGAGATCTCGCGAGAGGAGGAGAGGAAGGAGGAAGAGGATAAGAAAAAGAAAAAGAAAAAGAAGAGAAGAAAAAGAAAAAAAGCATTTGAGAAGGAGGTGTGGGAAGGAGGATGAAGTGGAATCGAAAGAAAAGGACGAAGAGAGGCGAGATACTGTGTGCCAGGAACGAAGAAGTAGAAGAATAAGAAGAAGAAACAGCAAGAAAGAGAAAGAGAGAGAGAGAGAGAGAAAAAAGATATAAGTCGAAGCACTCGAGAGCGGCGCAAAAAGCGAGGATGCAGGCAAAAAAGGAAGAGCACGAGCGAAGAAACCGGTTTTTTCCAGTTGGGCCAGGTCGGGGCGTCGAACCTACGGACCGCAGCCTCCCTCCGAGAATAACTTGCATGCGGCAGCTCCAGCGTCGGCGGCAGCAACGGCGGCGACGGTGGCCAGCGTCGCAGNCGAAGGAGACATCGTTTTAACCTTGATTTGATGTAATAACGCAGTTCTTTTATGATCATGAAAGTTATTGGATTCTCTCAGTAGTCCTCCTCCTCCTCCTCCTCCTCCGCCACTCTTTTTTCTTCTTTTTCTTCTTCTTCTTCTTCTTCTTCGTCATCCTCTTCTTTCTTTCTTTCTCTCGACTCAAGAAGATAAAAGTTGCCTTAGGTCCGGGAAAAAAAAGAAGGAAACGAGAAGACTCGCCAAAGAACGCACTGAAGAAGGATTAAACTTCAGAAGAAAGAAAAGTGGTGGAGGAGAAAGGTGGCGGGGTAGTGGAGGAAGTTGAGAAGAAGGAAAAGAGCATAAAAATACATTGAAAAGAATGAAGAGAAAGAGTAGGGGGTAAGAGGAGTGGTAAAAAAAGAATATCTTCGAGAGATAAAAAAGAAAGGAGGCCCCCGAAACATTAAGGTCATTGCCGTTCAGTCCCGTTTTAGATGCTCCTGGCGACGACCTCTTACTTCTTTTCTTCTCATCCACTTGTTCGTTCGGGTTTAGCCTAGGTCCGGGATCGAAAACACGGGCCGACGGATAACACGTTTCTTTCGGCTCACATTTTAAACTAATTCTTCGACCATACCATTTCTCTTTATCTGCATCCTATTACCTATCTTTCTACTTCCTTCGAATTAGCGATAATTAGAATCACGATCGAACAAATCTTCTTAATCGAGAGAAGCCGAGTGAAACATTATCGTTGAATTATCGAATTAGCATTAGATAGAGGAATAATTGCATTTTCTCACTTAACTCTCATACTCTCCTGACGAATCATTTAGAATTTTTTAATCTAATCGATGACAAAAGATTTCTTCCATCTTTAAATTCGCTTGATTAGCATATGCAACATTTATTTTATGAAAATAACGAGAAGATACGATAGAATTTTTTTTTTTAATTCTTCTTTTAATTGGAGAAAAAAGCAATGAAGAATACGAAGTTAAAAGAAAGAAGGGTGGAAGGAAGGGAGGAAAGAAAGGAAAAAATAAGAAACAAGATGGAGTGACTGCACCAAAAGTTTCGGGTCATTGCCGTCTTGTCTCGTTTTAGCCTTTCCTGTCCGCCTCCTCCTTTAGCTGCGTTATTCTTCTTCTTCTTTCTCTTTTCTCCTCCGCTTTAAGCAGTCTTTCGTACAAGGTTGGCCGCCATGTTTTTCCTCGGGCGCATACCCCTCTTTTACCGCCTCATGTGAGTGTAACTGACCTTCGTATATGCAAGAGAAAGAAAGATGGAAAGAGATGAGATACAAGGGGAAAAATAAGAATCATACGACCGCGAAACTGTTTTTTTTAAATATAAGACAGCGTAAAAGAAATGCATTAGCTGATAGCGAGGACGTCGAATTTTCATTCACTTTTGTCATTATTAATGTTATTAATAATAGATTAATAACATGGCCCATCGTGAGAAGGCAAAATAAAAGAGTTGACGATTAGATGAAAACAATATACTCGAATAGATTCGTTCTTTCAGGAGAAATTGTTTCTTACAACATTCTGACGATGGTCATGTTGGTAGATAATTATCGATATATCGTAGATGCTACACGTTTTAGTCAATTTTTACGCTTTTTTCCATCATACCGTTCATTGGTGAGGTTCAGTGAGGTCGATCGGAGGAACGTCACCGTTGTCAAGAGGTAGTTCCTTTGTTTTGACAATTTTAGTATTGATTACTATATACTTATATTACACATGCGCGTGGAATTCGAAGATGAATAATAGCAAAGAGATTAGATAATAGTTCTGATTTACGAATGGAGCCATACTCCGATCGTTCTCCAAGCCCCACGCTTTGTTAACGTTCGACTGTCCGATTTCGCGGTGGTAATCTTCGTACAATGCTTTAGTAATTCTTTTCTTTTCTTTTCCTAACTTCGAGAATCGCGCGTTCTTTTCCCTTTGCGAGAAATAATCGTAGTAGAAATTACACTGCATAGGTATATCGTAAAAAGAAAAAAAAGGAAAAAAGAAATGCCATTGTGTAACGCTATCTTAGCACCAAGAAACAAATTATTTTATCCTAAAAAATTACCATGAAATCAACTTTACGAATGCCACGTAATTACGATCACTCGGAAGGTAGAAAATCTTCCTCAAGGCAAGTAAATACTACGCATAACGGTAAATCGTTGTCCGGCGATTATTCGTTCCGTACGTTCTCCTTATATACACTCATAGGACGACCTTTATCAAAAGAGAAAGATCTCTATGATCTATATATAAAATACACAACAAAATAATACTCATGCTCAGATACTCGAATATTCTCGCAAAGGCGTAGATTTCGCGATGGTGGTGGTGGTGCGACTATTGTGGTGATGGGGTGGTGGCGGTGGTTAATTGGTGCCTTAACTCTTACCGGTAATCGTTCTGTTCTGTGCCCTGCCTGTCCTGCGCTTCTGGTTCGCAACTCTGTGGTGGTATTCTCTGGGTCGGCTCTCTACCGGGTGCGCCGCGTGTGCCTGCTTCCGGTTCTTCTTCTTCCGGCCCCCCAAAAAAGGAGTTGCAACAGCGTGTTGTGTTCCAGCAACACGCCGCCTTGATCGGCGGCCCGAATGCAACCAGCTGTCCTGTCTGCCACAAACTCTTCCTCGGTGGCGAAGCTTTGATGGAGCACATGAAGCACACCCACAAGGATCCTAATGCCTCCGGCGTTGCCAGTAAGTATCGAAACGACGCGACAGACCAATGTCGAGATTATAGCGTCTCACTTTACGTCTCTCACTTTCTCTCTCAAAATTACTCATTAATGTCCTCCTAGTTGTTCTTCTGTCTCTCTCTCTCTCTTCGGGTTCCACCCTAATTATATTAGACCTGTTTATAATTCCATGTCTTTTTTTACAAGCACGACTCTTCACTATATTTTCCTCGTACACACGTACAATGTTCTTCTATCTATTCTATCATTTCGCACTGACCACGATAGGAACGAATTCTTGTTTTTTTCTTTCTTCTTTAAATTAAATGAATTTTATATTATAAATTCTTTTCAAATTTTACAAGATTCGTTCCTTCGTTTACATTGCGATTAATTCGGCTGGGTATTTAAAGGGATGCTTCTAACCTCATCTTTCGCGATTTCGGGGTGGAAAACTGTCAAAAGGTAGAATAAGAGAGAAAGAGAGAGAAAGAGAAAGATAGAGATAAAGATGGAAATAAAAGTGGAGGAGAAGCGAGAAAAAGAGAGACTAAAGTGAATATATACGCGTAAAGAAGTCATAAAACCGTAAGTAAGGCTAAGAGAGGTGGAGCAACCACTCGTCGAGACACGAGGGGTGGTTCGTCTTTAGTCTTTAAGTACGCCTCATATATCCCCCACCCACTGAAAAAAATTGCTTTTGGCGCGGGCAAATTATGCATACGTTGTCCTGTCATTTCTTCGTAATATTTCGCTGGGCAGAAGAGGGGTGTAGCACTTGGCACACTCACCAACTAATATTTGGGTTCTTAACTAATATACAAACACATATGTCTTCTTTCGGTGCTTCGAGGGTGTCTCGTTCGACCTCTGTGCGCGCCTTTTTTGTGTGCTCGTTAGTGCTTTGTACATCGCGAACGCGCATGGAAACTAAATCCAGAAATGAAAAGAAAATCATCGAAAAGAAATTCCCCAAATTTTGGACTTTATTTGAAAGAAATAGAAAAAGGAAGAAAAACTAAAGAAAAGAAAGAAAAATATAGAAAAAAGAAAGRAAAAAGAAAAAGAAAAAGATGGGAATCTTCGTGAGGATTATCTCTGCGCGTTCGCGTCGTTTGATCGGAGCGCATGCGCGTTCGCGTGCGCGCGCGCGTCCGCGTTTCTTGGATTTTGGTCCGACGACCTCGCTCGTGAAAGGGATTCTTAACGGGTAGGCAGCGAGCAACGTGTCCGAGGTCAGTGCTCTCCTGATCCTTGGACATTCGCGTCTGCAAGGACTATCCCTTCGCCTTCGAGGTCGCCCGGAACGCGTACGTAAGCGCCGTGCGTACACGCGCGTGCACGTGAGTGCGTGAGGATGAGATGAGATGAAGGAGAGAGAAGAAGGAACAAAGTCAACCGCGGCCTCGTTGACCGATGCTAGCGAACTATCGAAAGATCGTGATGTCAAAATGAACGATAAGAGAAGACACAGAAAGAGATATGTATGTAAATACGCGTAATGATTCATAATGATGTCAATGATGACGACGACGACACAATGAGTTGATACGGTGATGCCGATGATATTGATCATGACGATCATGAGATAATGGTGATGATAATTATGGTGATGATTATGATATGGTGGTGATGATGATCATGATGCTTTCGTTCCTTGGGACGCTTTATCCTGCTTGGCATTGACCTTGAAATTGTCTCGCCCTATTGTTCCCTCCGCTGACTGCACAACCTCCGTTGCCGGGGTTTACCTAGCGAAGCGACGGACGGCCAACCACCCTTGCCCGGTGTGCGGAAAGCACTACGTCAACGAGGGTAGCCTTAGGAAGCATCTAGCCTGCCATCCTGAGACCAGTCAACTAAGCACGAGCCTCAGAATGTGGCCGTGCTCGGTGTGTCAAGCAGTCTTCACTCATGAGAGCGGTAAGTGCATCTCCATTTAACAGAAAAAACTTACTCGGTATCTCCGTTAGCGTTGATAAGTGTTCCCGAGAGCCTAATCGATTTCACTATAAGTAACTACATTCTTTTCCTTCGATTTCTTCTTTTCTTTCAACTTAAGGGTTTTCGGATACAACCTTGGCGCTAACGGATCTACGTTGATGAATCTTCTTATTTATATTCATTTACAAAAATTATTCGTCTCAAAGCAAATGAACAAAGCGCAGTCTAACAATTAGTTCATATTTGATCGCAGGTTTATTGAGTCATATGGAACACATGAGGATGGATCCTAAACATCAGTTCGCAGCGCAATACGTGTTGAGTCGCGCGGCGGCCGATAGGAGAGAAAGGGAAATTCTCGCGAGTTCGAGTCTAGGTATAACAACGTGAATCGAATTTTCTTTAAATATGAAATTGTAATGATTATTAAGCGAGGGACGATGTACACGATGCATTCTCATTGATCGAATACCGTTCAGGTGCGGGGCTAGGTGTTTTGGGAGGTCAATCTGGAGGACCACAAAATTTGCAGCAACCACCGATGTGCCAATCGCCTTCGGCCCACTCCGATAGCAGCAGTGGAAACGGACGGCTATCTTCGGCCGGAAGTGAACCTGGTACGCTCCGACTATTGGTTTTGCGCCCTGAAGGAATCGATCATTGCTCGGTGCCGTATCCGTGTATTGCAATTTTCGTATTTCTGATTTGATTGATTAGAATTAACTTATAAAATTGTCTGTAACAATATATATATATACTGTGTACATATATGTACATATATATATATATATAATATGTAGACTCCATGAAACTTTTTTATTATACTTGTCAAATGAATTTGAATGAACGTCAATAGATATGTAATCGTTCATAAATAATATTATCTAATGCAAGACACACGGCTACGGTCCCATCGTTGTACGTCGAATTAATATCCGTCAAAGAGCTCGATCGCTTCGTTTATTTATAAAGTGAACAAATAATTAGCGATGTAAGAGCCAAGCGGTCTCGCACGAGCATACTAACGAGAGTAGATTTCTGCGCAGGCACTGGTCTACTGAACAACAACAACAATAACAACAACAACAACATGGCATCGCCAGGACCCAGCGGTAACAAGCTGAGTGAAATGTTGAGAGCGGGCAGTCAGCCGGGTTCCGCGCAACAGTATCACGACGAGATGCAATCGCAACAACAACGCATGGCCGTCATGGCCGCCGCCGTGTCAGCGGGTGAGAAAACAACTCCAAGAAACGGACAGGATTTCGCTTTTCGAATCGAAACGTTCTTTTATTGCTGAACGAGCGAAAGCACATATACATATTACATATTATACATATACGTATAGCGTTGAAACGCAATAGTTTTGCGTTGTCTTCAAGGACGTCGACGGCGTTATTATACTTTATCGGACAACGCGAGACAACGCCATCCGGGAGAGGAGAAACGATAGCTCCGTTCCAATTATACCGATAAAGATTTATTTACGATGATGTTTTCCCGCGTCACTGTCGTCGTGTCGGCGTTACTGACTCTTATGCCACCGAACATAATTAATTATAACGACGTTTAATAACACTAACCTATGCCTAAGCGGTATCGCTTCGCCCATTCATAGACATGCCGATTACAACCGACACATATCAACAAATCTTCGTATCGTATATCTCATTTTATTCGGTTAACGCGTCAAGTTCTCGCTTACCTGCTCAATTTTTCCGCAAAAAGGAGTCTGCGATTTGATCGACTCAAACTTGCTATATGACGTAACGTAGTCGATCGGATCGCGGTGTTTCCTACTACCGAAAACTTCGTTGTATACGGCGAGTACAGGAACGTATCTATGTAAAATATAAAATTCTGAAATTCTACCGCTGTCTTCTTCGTAAAAATATTATTTTCGACGCCGAGAATCATACATAACAAGTCCGATTATTACTCTTCCGAATAAATAAAACTTTCACTGGCCTACTTATTCACGAATGACGAAGAAAATACATATATATTTATATATATACCTCTCTATATATATATTTAATAAATACTTAAGTAAATGTTTCGAATTGTAATACTACGAAATCTTAAGACGACACTTTTTAACCTTTTTACGAGACGTGTTTAAAAAGAATAAGACTGCATACAATCTTTCTGTCCCCCTTCTTCTGCCCGCGATTTTAATGTGGTCACACTTCGTACATATTATATTATAAAAGATATCGTTCTAAAATTCGACAATATCTTTTTCATTCGTAGGTTTGCAAAACTCGGTGTCGCCGAATTTGTCGCCCGTAGATATGGCGTCGCTAGCGGCAGCCATGAGAATGGGCAACAACGGAGACATGAGCGGCAGTGCTCAAGGATCGGCTGGGTCTCAACAACAAGGTGTCCAGGCAACCGGACCTGAACAAGCACTGAGAATGCATCAAGCGGAAGCTTTGTTACGTTCCCAAGCTGAAGCCGCCCTTCGGCTAGCGGTAAATTTTTCTTTGATTAATTATCTAATTATATTACGAAAAAATATCTAATTCTAAAAGCTATTTATCAAATTAAAATATTTTATAGTAACTTTATCTACTTATGAATTATGTTTGAAGACATATTAGTTTAGACAGATATACACAGATTGTGGTTACATTGATAAACACCTTTAATCACACAACAATAACTTTATTATCGATTTGAATTAGGTGTCGCAGGCAGCAGCCGCAGCGGCAAGTTCAGCGGTTGGGGGAGATGTGAGACATCATCTAACTCAACATAATGGCGGCGGATCTTCCGGTATACCAGGACATCATGCGAATCAACAAATGTCTCAACAAGACAGCTTGTCACCGGAGTTTGGTAAGTTACCACATACAATAAAAATAATAACAAAAACATAAGAAATAAATTAAATTTGATTTTTTTCAAATTGTTTCCAAGAACGAGGATCTTTTTTAAATTCAATTCTACTCTCCAATTACACATGTCTGTTAAAATTTCATTAGCATTTTTACATCTGTTTGAACAGGGGAAGCTCTACGTCTACAGGAGCAACGATTAGAGCAAGCCCTGAGGCTTCACGGTGACCCACGCGCCCTGAGCTTTACCATCCAGCAGGTGGTCAACCAACAGAACAACCAGCAACCATGAAAGTTCAGTTACTACTGAGACGAGTGGACCCCTTGGACGCAAGATCAGACGGCTTTGCAGCAAGTCGAACGTATGAATCAACAACAGCAGCAACATCATCAACAACAACAGGCTGCAGAACGTTTGACACCTTTAAATAATCATCAGCAGCAAAGCTCGTCTGGTATGGGCCATCACCAGCATCAGCATCAGCATCAGCATCAGCATCAGCATCAGCATCAGCATCAGCATCAACATCAGCATCAACAGCAACAGCAACAACATCATCAAGAGGATCGAGGTGTAAAGAGGAAAGTAGAAGATATGCTCGATAATGCTGAAAACGCGTAAGCGGTGCGTCCAAGTGCGGTCATCAACGAATTTACTCAACGTCTCAGGAGTATGAAAAAGCAAATGAAAAAATGAAAGAAGCGCGTAGAAGTTTAAAATCAAAGACTTCGTTAACGGACCGGACAATGTTTTTCAATAAACATCAGTCCAAGTCCGTTAGTTTTCGCGAAATCTTCGCGAAATCAACGAAATGAACTTGTTAGCCGTATCGAACCTCGAAACTTCACGTTGGTTTATCAAAGCCTTCGTACGATTTTAAGAGACGTACGGCTAATCCGTTGCACGGTGTCGATTGGACGTAACAGTGGCGACGCTTGCCTTCGACTTTACGATGTTCCTTGCGTCGTACACGCTGTTCCTATTTCGGTCCTAAAAATGTATTGATCTCGATCGAGAACGTCGTGTACGCGACACCAGAAAAGAAGAGACAGGGAAAATAAAATTAGACAGTGCTGTGTTATTATTGGTGTATTCGCGTGTAAATGGACGTTCTCGGGTCGTCTTCCGACCCCCCTTTTATCTCTAATCGCGAATGCTGATTTTCTCCTGCAACTAGGAGAGATTCTGTCCTCTTCATCTTTAAGATCCTCTGGGATCACTGGTACGCGTCGCCACCGTTACGACCATTTCCTCACCCGAAACGTGCCATAATGAATGATGAGTGGAAGACCGTCGTCGTTCGATTTGTCCTTCTTGTAGTGTACTAATACGACCACTTGTCAAGTCGGTCGTGTTTGTATCGCCTTGAGGACGCGAGACGCGGTACTATATGACTTTTTTAGTACAAGAGCCATAACGGCGGACAGGAAAAATCTATGAGCAGTGATTCTTCAGTCTGATTCGTGGTTCAACAAACCGAGCTATATGTATATTTATATGTATACATATATAAGGTCCGCACGATATCGGTCATTATATATATATATATATACATATGTATGTACATGTAATCTATGTATGTATGTATACATACAAGCCAGTCTCAAGGTTCCCTTAATCTTAATCTCCCGTAACGTTTAAGAAGACGAATCACATGCAATACACATATAGAAACACGATGAAAAATAGAAAGAGATGGATAGAGTTGGAGTGAAACCATACACGTATACTATGTGCGTCAACTGAACGATAAGGAAAGATCAATCGTTCTCTCGACGAGAGAGAGAGAATAAGAGTATATACTTTTCCTCGATCATAATTCGTACGCGTATGGTTACATGAAAGACACATACACAAATAAACACACTCCGTGGAGAGAGAAGAAAGAAAATAGGAGGGTCGAACGTGTTTCTCAACGAGCGTGTCGCGTTCCCAAAAAACAATGCTGACGAGTGTGAAAGAACGTTAATGATAACACACCCGCAGATAATCATACACATATACACATACACAAATGACATGCTAATATATAGCGTGAACGGGAACGCGTCACACATATATAATCACACACGCACTTATAGACATTTGGTAGGATACACTTGTACACATTAAGCACATACTGAAAATACACTTAACTGGTAAGATACACACAAACACACATACGTACTGTGTAAACTTTTGAAGAAAAAATGCGCGCAACTTGTGCTCGTGATAGCACGGAAACTATTAGCTCGTAAGCGGACAAACAAAATATAATTATTATAAACAGTTATATTATATATATTATATATACATACAGAGTATGAAGAGTATGACGGAATAAGCGAAGAGAAAAAAAAGAAAAAAAAAAAGATAAGAATAGTGCACGGGTGCGAAGAAAAAAAAAAGAGAAAAAGTCACCCGAGAAAATAAGCACGCGAAAAAACACACATTTTAAAATGAAATTGAGCGTGAATGCGAACGAACGTTTTTCGTGAGCGAGCACGCTCGAGATGATGATGAAGAAGAAGAAAAGATAAATAAAAAAAAAACTAAATGATAAATATTATATATATATTATATATATAAATATTATAAATAATGAATATAGGGTCTATGAGACTAGGATAGTTAGGCGAAAGAGAAATTTCGTGCAAGTGAGGCGTACGCGTTTGTGCGATTTTACGCGATTCCAAGTATCTTAAGCCGAGAAAATGAACAGCGAATGAGTGATAAAAAATGCGAGAAAAAAGTGAATACACGAGAAGCGCATGCGTGTGTGAGAGAATGAGAAAGAAAGAGTGAGTGAAGAAACCGAGGACAGAAGCAATAACGAAAGAAAGAACGAGTGAAAGACATCGATGAATGGGAAGGCTAGGAGATTGGAAACGACGCGTAAACGCACGGATGCGCACGTGGTGCGAATGTTAGAATCGAGTAAATGAGAATGCTTCGTGAGCATCAAGGAAGAACGAATGAGTGAAAATAATAATAATAATAAAAAAAAAAAATGCGGAGCGTTTGAGATTTTAGAATGACGTGCTTCAGGTAATCTGAGGTCCTGTGATCGTTATAAGCGAAATATTTTTTTATTTCCGGGTAATATATCTGAACGCGTAAAGCACTTGCGTCGTTTCGAACTTTTACTTGCAATATACCGTTACGTTCTCGCAATACTTAGGAAGAAAGGAGATTGAACAAAAATGAAAAACGAATAAAATAAAGACGAATAAGAATAGAAGTGGATGAGAAAAATACGAAAATGAGGATGACGAGAATAAGATAAAGTTTATCGAAGAAAGTCCGTAGGTTTGAAACGTGGAGCGAACTTTAGAAAACTCGAGCCAACCCTTCGCCCTTTTTCAAAAAACCATCATATTTGAGAATCATTCCATTCATGTTTCTTCACTTACCCTTTTTCCTCTTAAAATGAACAAATGTTTCCATCTAATTTTCTTATATTTAAACAAACATGAATGAAAACAAAGATAATAACTAATTCGTGGATCGTTCGTACTTTCGATGGGGTTTCTTTCGACGAGAACTAAACAAAGATTTAAAAACGAAATGTTGGCTGTTTGTAGTTAACACCAAATCAAACTGACAAAACTGAATTTTCGATACAAACCATTCGCGGATGTAACAATGATCGAAGCGGGAGATGATAATAAGAGAAGAGATAAAAGCAAACCAAAACCCTCTCTCGGACAAAACGGAAACGTAGGCTATTCGGAAAAAAAAGAAGAAATGAGAGACAAGAGGGTGTTGTTAACAAAATTAAGACGGATCGGAAAGACATTGACGCGCGATAAAATTCGACTCATTGTCAGGAGACGTTCGACTTCTTCGTTTCTTTGACTGATGATCGCGAAACGAGTAGAGTGCGGAAACGAATGGTATAGCGTGCCGAATATAATAATCATTTCCCCCCCGTGACATACGTCGAACCGCGTTGTTGTTGTTATTGTTATTGTTGTTGTTGGCCCCCATTCGGAGACTCTCGACGAGACTTTTCGTTCTTTACCGGCTCGTATTTTACTACCTATTTTATCTCCCGCTTCCACAATGTTTCTTCCATGATTTGGAAACGGAAATGTTAGATATTCTCGGTTTTCTTTGACAGAGTAATTAATATTTACAAAACAATTTTGAGATACAATTTCGCTTAACAAATCTTTATTACTAAAAACAAAGAAATATTATAAAAAGTCAAAGAAGACAGAAAAAAAGCCCATCCAAAGAAAGAAATCGATCGATTTTATTTTGTGATAAATCTAGAAACGAAATTAAATCGTTTTAATGTGTTTATTATTTTCCTTTTTCAAGGAACTTGTCCCATCAAGTCCCCTTGTTCGCCAATTACGAAAGTATAACCTAACGTCGTCATCTTCGTTGAACGTAAAAAGACACACGCCGAGAAGCCGCCGGGTAAACAGGCTTTTTCACCATCCGGGACGAGAAAAGAAAAGATCACTAAAGGATTCATCGTCAAAGCTACATTTTACAATCGAACCCGTCTCGTACGCAAGACTCCGGAGGAAGTCGAACCTTTCGATGATCTCGTACCGCAACCATAAAATTTTGAGTCTCGTTAAAAAAAAAAGAAAATATTGAAACAAAATAGAACACAATATTCGACCAAACATTGCCAAAAATTATATGATGGACCAAAACGCGTATAACGAGAACAACAAAAAGTATTAAAAAAAAAAAGACAAAAATAATAATAGAACGCACAAAATGGAGTAAAAAGAATTTTAGAAAAAAAAGCGGGCAAAAAAACAAAACTCTTGGTTCGTTCCCCGAGTCTCGCGCTGAACGATCGCGGGTCGATCATTGGTCGTTCTTATTATAAAGAATTTTTACGTTACAGGGCGTTATTTCCTCGGATTAAGTAGTATGTAAATACACCTTGATATCACAAGCATAAACTGAGAATTTACTGGTAAACTTAAAGGAAGTACATAATGCGAAATAGGGTTAGTTTCTATGTAAATACCTAAAGCTGGACGAGTGCATACCCCTCGTTCACGCAACCAACGATAATCGTTTTTATCGAACCAGAGCTTCTGTTCGTCGTCGGTGTACGCCTGGACGTCGACGAGCGTTCTTACTCGGATTATCATTTTACGCTCGTCTTAGAACGATTAGTGAAAATCTTAGAAAGAACGCTCTGCGAGCCGAGCGTCGCTGATCGGGAAATTCTTTTTTTTTCTCGACACCAATACTCTCACACATGATACGCGATGAACACGATAATTACACGTATACTAACACAATTACATACATACAAACATACACAGTTAGCTTGCGATGGATTGTACAGCTATGATAAAACAACATTACCAACTCGGACAACTATTTTTGGCATTATGATAATTACTCTTGCACAACCGGCACCGATGAGAATTATCTTGGTTTTTTTTTTGACTTCGGGCTAGGGACCAACATTTGGTTTTACTCGCCATCAATAAAGATAATCCGGATCGACCGTTTAGATAAGAGACAGACGAAAGAAAACACTAATGCAGTTTTATATTGAAACAAAGCGAAGATCGCGAATTACTTTGTTAAACCTCCCTTGTCATGCACGTGTCGTAACAAAACATAAACTTATTAGTAATGATAGAAAATAAAAATTAGGGAGAAATAGAGAGATGGGTTTTGATCAGAATAAAAGATTTTTGTGGATGTCTATCGAACTGCGAAGTTATGCTTCGTTCGAACATAACTTACGGTTGCGAAATTGTTGAAAGGGTGAAACGAATGTGCATGAACGAGAGTGCGAACGAACTTAGCTTCGAGGGCACAAAGTTGAGGTTTAGGAAAATAAAGCAGGACTAAAGCTAATAAAAAAGAAAAATATGATTCTTCGTTCGGAAATTTTCAATGACTTCGCTTTCATACGAAAAAAAATATCTATAATGATAATTAAATCTAAAAAAGACAAAATAAAAAAAAACAATCAAACAAATCATTGACCGAAAAATGCCAACAATTATAAATCATTTAAAAAAAGAAAAACAAAAAATAATAAAAAAAAAAAACGGTATAAATCTTAATTTTTACGGTCCCTAAGAAAAATCCGCGAAGGAAAAAAAATATAACGGGTGCACGTAATTATACCAATAAGAGTGCAGGAGAGAAAAAAAAAAGAAAAAACGAAAAAATAAAATGGAAAGCTTTCGAAACAATACAAAAAGGTTAGAAAAGACAAAGAAGAACTATAAAACAAAAGAAAAAAGCAGTACCATTTATCACCATCATAACCATCACAAAAGAAATAGAACAGCAACAGTAACAATACAAAAAACACTATATCACTCTAACCACCCACGTCAAAATCCTTCATGGATGCGAACACGCGCAACGACCCATGAAACGATTGACAGACGAGAATTTTTCAACAAAAAGTTAACAGAAAAAAAAGAAAAAAAACGGTGCATCCTGCCGTGCGCCGAGGGTTGCTTTTTCATGTCGAATGCAAAAGTAACGAAAAAGAAAAAAAATAGAAGTTAGAGAAAAGTACACACACATTCGATCGGGGCAGCCAATTGAAATTTTTCCCCACAACCCACCTACCCTTTTTCCCACCGTGAACTTGACATTCACCCCCTCCCCCACCTCAAACACCCCCTCTCAACAAAAATAATAGAGAGAGACGGAGTGAGAAAGAAAAAAGAATCATAATAAAAGTATCAATCACACACATCTCCGCGCGAGAAGGAGGAATTCCCGAGGCGCCGGCCCGTGCCCCGCGAACGTTGTATCATAATTTTTAATTAAATGAAAATAATAAGAAATAATGCAAAAAAAAATAAATAAACGCTAATAATAATAACGCGAAAGAAAAAGCTAAAAAAACACAATGAAAAGCACACAACATTACAATAGCTCTAGTAGTGTATGTTCTGTAATCAAAGCAGGAATAAGCGCAGATAAATGATAAAAATAAGCGCGCACGTTACCGACCATCCTTCTCCAAGCGGTGTGAAGTGCGTGCCGCTAAAAAAAAGCACAAAAAAATAATTTACAAATATATTGATTTACATATGCCCGTAACTAATAAGCGGGTCGGTGGCGCAACTCTCGCGAACGTTCATCCCTTTGTAAAGAACTCTCTCTTCCCCATTCTCTTCCGTAAAAGGCCAAAGATCTTCTCTCTCGTTTACTCATACTTGGGTCACCGATGAACTTATCAAACTCGGGTCAGTCAGAAAATGCGAATCTTTGAAAAGCTAAAGATAAGGAGAATGGAAGAGAGTACGAACCCGTAAGGTCATAACGACTCGCGTGTGAGTCAACTAGACTTATTCTAGTCTAGCACATTGAGAAGGAGATGGCCCCAATTATCATACAAAGAAATAGTGAAAGAGAAAGGAAGAGAGAGACAAGTGAATATATGTATAAATGAAAGCGGCGTGTTCGATGCGTAGACCTTGCAAAACCGACCCTAACCATAATCTTAATCTCTTTCATGTAAATTTGCTAAATGTTTAAATAATCTAAAACTTGCCATAGCCCGGATGCGCTGGTGCATACTCCCAGCGCATACACACTACAAATACGACTCGACTTAACGAATAAATGCAAAAATCCGCGGTAACGTCTCTAATGCGAACGATGTCACTTGGGTAAGCGACACCTAAGTCAATCAATGGGGACGCCCGCGGTAGAATTGGTATTCTCGACAAGGAACAATTCACAACAGATACAGATTACAACTACAGCAATAGAGGAACACGAGCAATTACCCGAATACATCGGACACAAATACACACACAGCAATTGGTAAGGAGAGCCCTGTACACATAAAGTCACTCTTATTACACGCTCGAACACACTCTTACACTATAATTACACTTCGTATACACTATAAATACACATGCTACGGATATGTAAAGCCAATTGATTTTGTAAATTGCCCAAAAAAGGAAATTTTTCATGTGAATTTTAAAATGCAAAAGAGATCAACGAAAAAAAATCATTTTGAAGAAAGAA